CGGCAGGGAGGCTGGATTAAAATGATCTCTAAGGTCCCTTCCAGCCGAGGCCATTCTATGATTCTGTGATTCAATGATTCTATGATTTTGCTCCAGTAAGAATCTAGGGCTTGGTCCAAAAGAAATTAGCACCTTGAATCCATTCTACTACAAAGGGCAGTGCACTGCTCTCCCTTTACAGACCCTGGCATGGCAGAAGTATTGCACCACTACAACAGTCACAATACCCTATTTATACTCCTGAAGTATTAACTTAAAGCTTTGTTGCAAACTCCAGGTTAGAAGTACAATTGAATAAAAAGTCTGAATTCTCCTTGGAAGGTGATAAAGGGAAAGGAACTAGATAAAGCCTCTCATTCACAAATTCAGCATAACATTGAAACACAACAGTTCTGCACTTCTTGTCATCTTTATCATCTTTTGTATGACAGAAACATCCTCTTTGTGCATCTGTGCATCTTCTTTTGAGTATCATTGTTTCCTGAAGAGTCTCTCTCACAACTCTATCTAACTTTCTTAGAGAGATCTACTAGGACAATTGAGGCTGTTTGGATCCAAAAACTGTCAAAGAATCAAAGCATCAAACACAGAATGTGTCTACACAAAAACTCTTAATTGATATTGTTCTGCAGAAATTATATAGGTTTCCTAGATAATGGCAGTAATTTTGTCACATGAACTTGGAGGTCAGCAAGGGCCAGATTATAGTTCTGTGAAGAGTAACTTTAAAGACTACCTTTCATCTTGATTTAGCAAACTTTACCTTATGTCAACTGCACTATGCAGTCATTTATTTCACTACTGGGAACAGTACAACTTAAGTAAATTGGAATTATTGCTGGAATTAACAAAAGACATTCAAAAGTTCTTGGAATGGTGTCTTTAAGAGTTGACTTTAAATGCCGCCTCACCATACCGAAAAGCTGGAGAAGACTAGATTTTATGCACACTGGTATCCATTGTGTTGGTGGCTAGCCTAAGTTGCTCTTAACCTTTCTTATATCATTCCACATTTCCTCTAAACATAAATAAGAGCTATATGGCAAATAATTTCAAGAATAGAAGTAGTTTATGCAAATATTCCACAGTCCAATTCCACAGTTCAGAAGAACACAAAGGTTTCTAATTTCATGCTGCAACTTAAACCTAGACAGAAACTTTTCTGCTATCTGAAAACTCACGCCATAAAACAAAATTTATTTATTTTGTTTAAACTGAAATCTTCTCTTACCATCATGATTGGGATTTCCCAAAGTCCACGGCTCATCTGAGTCAAAATGAGTGTCTCCTCCAATTCCTGGCCCAGGGAAATATGCATGAGCCAAAAATCCTCCTTCCCCATCAAAGGGAGAACTGTCTCCATGAAAACCTGATGCAAAAATTATTGTAATATCCACATCCCTCTTGCCATTTTCTAATTCAATATAAGGAACTTCTTCAAATGTTAGAGGAGTTACATTCTGCCACACATCGAAGGCACGGCGAATGGCTTTACGAGTTTCAGCATCACCTACTTTTGGAGTGACGTTCTTTATGCTGAAAGAAACAGAGAAATATCAGATTAAATTTAACAGATCGGTGACACTGTTTACATTAATTTTCCACTAATTATTAATAGCACTATGTTTTTAATAAAAGGGTTTAGTCTGGTATTATATCTTTTGACAAGAGTATTTTTAAACAAGTTAGTGTGAAATTACTGTGTCAATGTGCATAGTCCTTTGTGCTAGAGTTTATATGTTAGCTAGGTTACTCTCAGCAGTACAAAAGTCTTATTTTTATAAGATTAAAAATATTTTTAAACGAAAAATTCTTAACAGTGGGATAACCAGATTAATCAACCACTGACTGTTTACCTCCTGGACCACAATTAGAATGCATCACAGCTAAAGAATGGCATGTAATTTCTGATCAAAGGAAAAATGTTTTCAGTTAAATGAAATTTTAACTTCTTAGTGAGTCCATTAATAATAGTGGAGCTCCATGCTGTGACCACCAACCAGTTTTCACAAAGACTTAAAAACAGCTCTTGTTGCATTTGTAACTGGATAGATAATTCCTTATCAGAAACAAAGCATTTTTATTTCAATACAGGCTAAGAGGTCCTTTTATGATCTGATTACTTCTATAAATCTTGCATAAAACTGTAGAATTCATCAGAGAAATCCTTTTACAGAAGATAACTATGTGTTAATTCAGAAATACATATTTAAATGGGAATTTCAGTCTCTATTCTTCAAATGACAAACATAAGAGAAAGGCAAAAAACCCAGAAGTGCAGTTGAGTTCAGTCACAGTTACTCATAAATTACAGTGGAATCATTTTCAAAAAAACCCCTCAAACTTCTTTATTTATTATTGAATTCAAGAAAAGAATGGCAATAATCAATTTCAGACATATCCAATTTCCTCCATCATTTTTACTCAATTCATATGGCCAGCAAAAACTCTGTTAGGTTTCTGTCTGTTCTGAAACTACTGCAACCAGATGCTTTTTGTTCATTTGACATGTGCTTGACTGAATACACAGCACAAATTTCAGAAATTGCATAGTTCTAGAGTATATGTAAGATTTATGTAAATTTACACAGCATGACATGTTAATGGAGAACAAAAATATTTTCATGGATAAACCTGGAATGACTGATTTGTCTGGTGCATTGAATGTGCTTGATTATACCATATTGTAAGTTTATATAAATGGAAAGAAATACTTAAAGGTTAATTTTATAGATTTGGCTTCACATATATATTTTTTTAATACGTCGTTGCAGAAAACATGAAGTTACTATTTTGACTACCACTCTAAAATATTCTTGTATTGAGTCCAATAATACAAGTCATACATGTTCCAAAAAGATATAAAGACAGATCAGACAATAATATACTGTAGAGAATCCACTGCTTCCCTCGATCTTTTCTTCCAGAGATGATTTAAACAGTCATTACACGCTTGAGTCTATTTTCCTATTCGTCTTCCTGGTAACTTTGGTTCTTGTTCTGCCTTTCTCTTTCACATACATGAGCTTTAAGAACATTTTATCACACTAAAAAAAGACATTTTAAAAATGTTTCTATACTGCAAATCATTACCTTTCTGTCATCTCCTTCAAATCAAGCTTGAACTCTAAAATCTCTTATTATAAGACATTTTCTCCAGTTTATTAAATATTTTCTGTGGACTTATTGAACTCACTCCAATTTTATACTGTTCTTTAAAAACTAATTCTGTCTGAATTACAAACTACTGTTGTACTGATCTCTTTGTCAGAGAGGAAGAGTCCTCTGACCCACAGGCACAGCCTCACCCTATGCGGTGTAAATGTTACGTGCTTCAAATTGCTTTGTATGATGCCTTTTCTTTATAGTTATTTACACATCAGTAATTCTGTGATCAGTTTTGTGTTGATTTTCAGGCGATTAAAAAAATCTTGGATGAACTGGACCAGCTATCAGTTCCTGCAGAACCCTCTTCTGACAGCTTCTTCCTTTGTGAATTACTTTGAGATATTTTACTTAGCAAGTTCAAAAACCATTCATCCTGTGCCCCTTAACAATGTATAGTACTTTACAACCAGAGTGTCATGTGGCACTAAATGGGAACACCTCACAAAGTAAGTCACACTCACCCTGCCGCTGACAAGAACTTGACGACAGCTACCCTGTTGCTATGTTAAGAATACTGTGAATGATGAATTTTCTCTTAGTTGATCCTGCAGTGTGCTCTTGAACGATTAAAGCCTCTCTTATTTACTATATATAATAAATGCAGTGAATGAAACAACAGGCTTTCATAGAAAATGGAATAAAAACCTGGTACTTTGGTTAGGAAAAATTCATCTGAAAGATACAGTTTGGTTTTTTTTATTGTTTTGTATTTTGGAATCTTAGTATTGGTTCAAAGTCACAATTTAGGGTTATGGAAACAGAGCCAAAGTATGGTCTTACACTCCTATATGTGCTATGAGGAAACAAGTAAAAGAGACTGGAATTTTGTATTGCTGGTAAATCGATTAATTGCTTGATATAAAAGGTTTGACTCATGTTTTAAACCTTATCACTTTACATTTTCTTTCTTTTTCAGAAAAATAAAATCAGTTTTAGTCATCGATTACAAATGAAAAATTGAGCCATTGTGCTAGATTCACACACATTAACCAAGGGTGATTACCTATGATGGAAGACCTTTTCCAGGGGATTCAGCTATTGAATTACTTTTGAAATAGCATCCTACATCTCAAGATTAATTGTAAAGAAAAAAGATTTTTCAAAACATACATACTGTATTGAAACATGACAGATTTCTGGCTTCTAAAACCACCTTCTGGAGAGGGTGAGATTATACTGAAAAATTTAGCTTCTAAAATAAATTAAATAAATCAGTAGTTACTCCAATACAAAAGTATTTATATAAGCTATATAAGGGCAAATTCCAGTACTGTGTGTAACATGAACGTTGAAGTTGCCTAGCTGGGAACTTTTCTAAGAGTAATTCACCAATGTAGACATATGAAATCCAACTTATTTTACATTTCTTTCATAGTATTGATGATATAATCCCCAAAGGTGAAGTACAGTAAGAAGATCAATCCATACAGACAATGTATCAACTACCAGAGTTTCTAGGACTCATCTCTTAAAATTCTGTCTTCAGTTTAGACATATCACTACAATAGAAAAAGTCTTAAATAAATCCTTTTCTATTACATTTCACCCTTCATCTTAAAGCCAGCAGTGACTTGAAGTAGTAGTAACTGTCACTGCTAACAAAAAAAAAAAAAAAAAAAAAAAAAAAAAGAGTAATGGGTTATCTTACACTCAGCATGTTCAGATAATGGAGCTCAAATAAAAATAAGTGGAGGACATGCGAAATCAGAATCACTCCTATTGCAAGGTGGCAGAATAGCAAGACAAAGGCCATCACAACGAGTAACACTTTCCTAACCTCCAAGTTTAATGATAATTTCACAGAAAAGTTAGTAGAGAGAAGGATCCAATGATGACCTTGACCAGCTTGGTGGAAGGGCAACCTTATAAAGAGCCTGAAGAACATACAATTCCTTTTAAAAGAAAAGTATTTTAGTAAGGAAAAGATAATCTATAAGATGAATCATTTACCTCTACGTAATTTTTTAAAAAACTAGTAAGCTGAATGATGCTTTGTATATATTTTAAAATATGCTATTCTTAGACAACCACAGCCTTGTATCAACTGAATACAGTATTTTTACACAGTGGTTATTATTGCTGTTTGACGCAAACAAGGCTTTCAACCTGATAATTGCTTTAGGCCTTGCAGCTTAAAATTCCATCTCTTGCACAAGAAGAATAAGATTTCACTAGTTACATGCACTTTTTACACTGCTTTACTATTTCTACAGATGCCTGAAAAGTCTTATTTTGGAGACTGTTATTCTGAAATTCTGAGTCCTATTGATTTTAGAAAAGCTTTGGGTTTTCCATCTCCTCCTCCTCCTTCCCTAAAATATCCTCAAAAAAATTATCCATGTTCCAGTGACACATTTCTGGTGGCAACAGCTTCAGGAGCCTTGCAAGGCTGTCAGGATATACCTCACTTAGCTGTGTAAAATCAGTCATCTGAAATTTAAATACAGTATGTTAAGTAGCACATATCTGCCATTAACTTTCACTATTTCCTTTTTTCCTCCTCAGCTGTCATTAGAACAGCTCATTATATTTTTCATGTAAATAACTTCAGTTCTATATATAAAAATCAACCCTTCTGACCCAAGCTAGACCCAAGAGGCAGTGCAGAAAGGCTAAATAAAGCTCAAAATGCATAAAGCTTATTATTACTGCTTATCTTAGCAGTAATGGCCTCCACAAGAGTTGTAATAACTCAGGGACAGACTTCTTCATGGCCTGTAGACTTTGATACTTCTATTGCCCACTACATATAATAAATATTGTTTTTAAATTGGTTCTATGCTCATTTGTGCATTCCATTCAGAGTACAAGATTAACAATATCCCACTATCTTGTTGTGCTGATTAGACTGCACACTAATGAGTATTTTTAGAATTATTAGGTAAGATGCAAGATGGCATTCTCTTTGTTTTAGAACAGAAATATATCAATTAAATATAAATGGGGAAAATATTTCTACAATGTCATTTCTCTCAAACATTCAAGCATTTCCTTGGAGCAAAGCCGCAAACTGGAAAACCTATTCTCAAGAAAGAAAGGATGTAGAAGATAAAAGAGCAAGAAATTCAACTTAGTAAGTAAGGAGATGCATTCAGTAATCTGAATTAAATCAACTATAGATCTGTATTTGATATGAAACACTCAAGGGGGCCGGTTAGCTCAGTCAGTTGAGCATGGCGCTAACAACACTAAGGTCGCGGGTTCGATTCCTGTTCGGTCCCCATGTGTTGCCTGATCTAGTCGAGAGGTGACGTACCTGGCAGCAGTGAGGCTGGATTAAAATGATCTCTAAAGTCCCTTCCAGCTTAGGCCATTCTATGATTTTATGAATTGAAACACAGCTTAAATCTAAATGACCTGTTAAAACT